CATCTCAGTTTCCGCTCCTACTACTTCCCAGTGAAGGTAGGCCCTGAGCACGTGGGATCACCTGGTCATGGGGGTGCAGGGAGTTGCTGTGGGGTACAGAGCTGCCTTGAGCCTGGCTGAAACAAGGCAAAGTTACGGTCTTGAACAAGGCACAGTTGCTGTTCAAGTCAAGGGACCCTGTCAGTAATGGCTGGTGTAGTGCCTGTGGCAGCTGGCTCTTAAATAGCTCTCTGTAAGGAGAACAGTACTTAGGAAACCAAAATAGACATGTATTAACTCCTGTAATGAGCCTCCTGAGGGTTTGTCCTAAGACCCAAGCCTGGAGGTGCTGTAGCTGCACTTCTCYACTTCCCACAGCGTCTCTGTTTTCCACCAGGAGCATTACATAGCTGTTGGTGTGGCTGGGTCAAACTGAGTGCTGCCCTGGGTTATGTTTTTTCCACCACCATTGGAAAGGGAAATCTGAGTTCAGAAACAGCTGTTCCTGCCTATTTCTGCTTTTGAGGAACTGTTAAAAGCTGTAAACKGCTAAAGGCTGTGACCAGAAGGATCCAGGGATAGGTACTACCAGAATAATGTGTGGAGAGTTAGAACACGGTCCCAGCAGCCAGGGCTCTCAGATGCTGAGGGTGRTGGTGTTCTCAAGGAATTTGAGCCTGCCTTGCATCATATACAGCATCAAAGATAGCTCCCACCTGACTGAAGGTGCCTTTGTCATCACTTACAGCCTCCCCCAGCCTTGCCAGCGCAGGGCTTAGACCCAAGTGGATCTSTCTTCCTTTCCCTTGTGTGGAAGGACTGCTGCACCCAGGCCTTTGGGGCTTCTCTTTCATTAATCAAGCTGGCCAGTAATTAATGTGATGCTAACTGCTGCTATTCAGCAGATGAGGTCACCGAGCATGGTCTTGTTTCCAGGACAGGATTAAGAAACTCCTGGGAACAAACTGTTTGTGGCCATTTTCCCCCATTTARGCAGGGTTCAGTGCCTCTGTGTGGTGTTGATTCAGTTCTCTCCTCCTTGCCCCTCCAGAATGTGATTGATGGGGACCTGTGTGAGCAGTTCAACTCCATGGAGCCTAACAAACAGAAGAATGTGGCTGAGGAGCTGGACCGGACCCCACCCGAGGTGTCCAAGAAGCTGGAAGACATCCGCACACGCTACGCTTTCTGAGCGGCAGCTGGCAGGGGCAGAGCAGCTCCAGGCTCCTCTGGATGCTCTTCCAGGCGCTGTTGGGAGGAGGAATGTGTGCTTTTTTCCTCCCTTTTCAAATATTGGTTTGGTCCTCTTGGTTTATGTTTCAAAGTAACGTGACTCCAGTAAATACAGTATCAGCTATTAGGTTTCCCAACACATCCCACTGCCTATGTGAAGGCTCCTGACATTCCGGCTTCCAGCCAGAGCAGTTCTCTCTTGGGAAGTGCCCAAGGCAGGATGCCAGCTGACCCTCAGCTCCATCTTCTTGTCCTCCCTTTCAGATGGGGGAGTCCCAGGGTGTCTTGCTGAAAGTTCTGTAGGGCAGATCCAGCTGAGTCTTTGTTGGGTCAAGTGCGGTTTGTGATTTCCCAGCGTTTTAGGAAAAGAAAGAGCTGTGGCATGATTCAGGATTACAAGTCTCCTCTTAGTAGCCAGTGGTGAGCTGCTCTGGGCTTCCACTAGTCCGGGGARCAGCCAATGGGAAGCCTGGCAGCGTGGAGGGTGTAACTGTCACACTTGTCTTGAACGTTTTCTTCTGAATTGCAAAGGGTTTTTTTGGACTTGCCATTTCTGACTGTTTTCCCTGTAAATAGAGTTTTGTACAATGTTGACTCTCTTGGGGGTGGGGAAGAGCGAGGCCTGAGTCTGGGACTTGATTTGTTTCATAATAACTTTGGCAAGAGAGTGTCTCCAAGCTGTGACTGTGAGCAGCACATGAAGAATAAAAGCCTGTTTTTTCACTACCCTGGCGCTGGGGCTCTTCTTCGTGGCAGCTGCTGCTGACCTGGCGAGAGCAGGAGGGGAGGAGGAAGAATACAGAAATGTGCACACCCTGAGCCCCTGTGCTCCTGCAGGCCCCTCRCTGCCCCCTGCCCTGCCTGGTGCTGTTCTGCCCTGGGACACACACGAAGGAGGTTATGGAGAGAGGGAAATCATTTCTCCAGCCATTGCAGAGCGTGGTTGCACTTCATTCCTGTGTTGCCCAGTGTAGCAGCTGCAGCTTTGGGAGGAGCAGCTGACTGCCAGGAGGGCTGGGGAATGGTGCCCRTCCCAGGGGCTCGGTAGCTGGCAGCAGAGGCTCCCGGTTGGAGGGCACCCACACAGCAAGTGCTTCCTGGTTCTGCTGCATTCCTCCCTGCTCTGCTGCATCCCCTCCCTGGGACCTGAGAGCCTGTGGCGTCCTGATAAGGATGCTGCTCCCCACATGGGGCTTGGAGAGGCAGCTGATCCATGGCCTGGTGCTCCCTTTGAACAGCTTCCACGTTCTCCAGTGTGTGTTCTGTGTCAGATGAGGACAAACACACCCTCCTGCCCTGTCCTTTGCTCCCATCTCTCCCGTTCTGCCTTGTCTCAACCTCACAGGCCTGTGTTGGCAGGGGCTTAACCCAGAGCTGCACCCTTTGCCTCTGACATGGCACCTGGAGCCCCACCCATCCTCTGCCAGCGGAGCAAAGGGCTTTGTGCTCCCTTCTCTGGYCTGACTGGGGGCAGCTGTGTCAAGGGAGGGGCAAAGGGGAGCTGAGCTTTGTGGGGCCCAGCTTCTCACTTACTGTGGACTCAGGGTGCTCACCCTGTGCTTTCTATCCATTGTCCTCCTAGAGGGAGTGATGCTCTGGATCAAAGGGCACTTCCAGCAGAGCTCCAGTGCTGCTTGGTATTTGTTATGCTGGTGTCCTGAAAGTGAAAGCAGGGGAAGGGATTGTATTGGGATGTTCCCAAACTGGTTCCAAGCACGAGGTCTTACTTTYTTGGACTGGAGACAGGTTATTCACCGGGCACAGCCAGGGCAAAGCCTAGAAAGGACCCACTCACTCCTCATAAGAACCCTGCTCGGTTGTGGGGAGCTGGCTCAATCCTCAGCTCCTCTTTACTGAGACAAGGAAGATTTTTTTTTTTTTCTCAGTGAGGATTCCTCCCTGCAGCCACAGGGGACCGGGTCCCGCTGCCGTGTGGGAGCAGAGCTCCCGGCACTGTGCACTGGGAACTGTTTGCCTTGGGCTCGTCCCAGCGCTGGTTTCCAGCCTGGAGCAGCCAAGGAGGGCAAACCGCCCCCAGCCCCGAGCTGCGCTGCTCGGCACTTTCCCTTGTCTTCCTCACCCCATCCCGGCTGCCAGGCTGATGAGTACGTGGGCAGGGAATGCTATTAAATGGCTTCCTCCAGCGACTGCAGGCAGCTGCGAGCAAAATCCCTGCGGACACCTGAGTGAGGAGCTGGACCAGCTCTTTCCCTGCTTAGAGCTGAGCATCTTGCCCCCAGCCAAGTGCGGGGAGGGAGGCAAGGGCCTTGCCCAAGACTGGCCAGGACCGGGGGAAGCTTGGCAGGAGCACGACAGTGGCCCTGATTCCGTGCCAGGGGAATCCCAGTGCGCTCTCACAGGCAGAAGCGCATTCCTTCCCACGCGTTTCCCTGGGAGCACTGACCCACTCTTTGATAGCCGATGTCTTTTGCTGACCCTTTGGATGCTCAGCAGCCCTGAGCACAGACACAGTGGCTCTTCCAAGGGGCTCTTCAGAGTGGTGTGGGGGAGGACAACGTCCCATGTCACTTGTCCCATGCTCCTGGTAGGAGCTCAGCCTTGAAGCATCCYGAGAGGATGACGCGGGCTTGGGCCAGAGGGAGCAGAGTCCTGCTGGCCTGGAGCCAGCCAAGAATACCTCAACCCCTCTAAGATCAGTGCTGCAGCTCAGCCCTCCTCCGGGCACATGCTGAGAAGGCACTGGGCTGACTCTCACTTTGAGTGCCCCAAAATGTGCACCGTGGGTGCTCAGCCCCGTCAGTGCCCTGGGACACARGGCCAGGAGAGCCCAGCGCACTGSGGGTGCCAGTGCTGCTAGAGGAGARCMCCCCGGGGAGAMAAGRGCTGTGCAGAGTGGTCAGCTGGGCATCCCAGGGGCGACGTGRACACCTGACCGGCTGTGGCATCCCTGACAGGGATGGCTCAGCTCCCTGCTGAGTGGAGGAGGCATGGACCGTGGTTAGACCAGCACCCCAGGGGCTCCCTGCTAGGGCAGTGAAACACCCCAAAGAGCAGAGAGGAACCCAGGAGGATGAGCCAAGCACTCTGGGGGCACTCAGATGTGCTGAGCACACTGGGGTCATCTGGCTAGGTGASCTGAGCATCCCAGGACACCCAACCTGGGCTCGCTGAGCACCGCCGGGGACACCTGCCTGAAACAGCAAAGCGCTCTGAGGAGTGGGGAGGGTCAGCCAAGTACCCTGGGGACAGCCGGCTGGCTGAGCCGGGCACCCTGGGGACA